CTTTCTATTCTTCTATCTTTCTCTTGGCATCATCAGTTTCTCTATAGAGTGTTTCTTGGTTTGATCAAATAGTCACAATTTGAATCAAACGCCTCCATTGTATCCTGAGAGAGATTTTCTATCATACCCCGGTCGTGACTTTGTTGGAAAGGGGAGAAACATCTCTTAAAAGATAACGTTTTTCGTGCCTTGGAGTTCATTAGTTTTTTCAGATTTTATTACATATTTCCAACAGACAGTAGAATAACATTACAGCTCATTATCACTTCCACTATTTTTCGTATAGTTACTAGGTCTACATTCTTGTTCGTTGATTCTTGATGAACACAACTTAACCACGGGGTTAAGTGGCACCTCTTTATGCAAGTTCAATTTTTTTGCTACCATAAATTGGAAGGAATAAATGGTCAAAATATTGTTTCCATTTCACCCCACTTGTGTTACTTCTTTTTCGTTCAATAAACAAGAAAGAGGAAACATTATATTTTCCATTCTACTTTTCTGTTCAAGGGTACGGAACTCTGGTCATTTTTATTCTGGAGGTAGATATCTATCAAGCACTGAATACTAATAACTTTAACAGGCACAAGATTTCATTAATTTATTCGTAGTACAAAAATATAACATGCCCGCTCAAATAATTTTAAGGCGTAGAAGAAATGCTTTTATATACAGTACACATTACATGGGCAAAAACAAATTACTTCGTACTTCTGATCTTATACACAAGTATATATCATTGCCAAAACATGAGACCCGCGGTGCACCTGATAATATACTGAACAATTGAAGGATTTCGACTTCCTTGCTACTTTAACCAAATTCTACACTCTGAAGACGATGTACCAAGAACTAAAAACCGTAGAAATGAATATCGAGACTTCATCTTTGAAGTTTGAAGGGATGCACAAGATTGGCCTCAGAACATTAAGGGGTTGTCTATAGATATACAAGATCCAGTAAATCCTCACCCCAATACTGTGTTTTTGCTACAATGTCGTTCACCTCAGCATCAACTTCAGGCCAATCACCTACTAAAGCTTCTTCCATTTAATTACCACTCGAAAGATCTTCACTAAGCAAGACTTCCAATGTATCCTCAGTAATAGGATTCGAGCTGCTACCACTGCTCGATTCACAATCCACAACAGTGGAAAACAAAGTTTCCATCTCCAATTCGGTGTTAGTAAGCTCATTGTCGTCATGGCCTGTGTGGTTTAAAGACGGGCTCATAGCAAGCCTCCTCTTCCGTCCTGTTTCAATGCGCTGTTTATCCTTCTTCTGCTTGTATTTGTCAATATACTGCTGGATAGAAGTAGGATTCCCGAAGGCTCTAGCAAGAAACCTCCTCATTTGTTGTTGCTTCCTCTCAGTGTTCTGCATTTTTTCCTCCAATAACATAATGCTATCCCTTGAATTTTGCTGCTGCTGATTAAGCTTTATAATTTCCGTCATCAACACATTCCGGTCAGTTCTCAGTCTTTCAAGTTCTTCTTCCACGCCAAATTGCCGTAACTTGGCACACGGATCTCCACCTCGTCGTCTCAAGTTCTGCACGGCATTTCTTCTCCTCTTGATAGTCCGGAGGAGATGCTTCTGTCCGCCCAAAAAGCTCTCATTTGCAAATTCCCATCGATCCGAATCCACTTTTTTAAAACCCTACAGATTGTAAAAATTCTGAATTGTCAGAAAAACCTAGAAGCCTAATCAAAAGTACTTCAAATGATAATCCATAAACCTCAGAACAGATCAAACAACCTAGCTTGTCTCTTCCACATAATAACATGCCAGATCAACATGTGACTGTCAAACTCAAGAACAGAAGCTCATCAAAATAAAAAATAAAAAAAAAGGGAAAATTGTTTCAACAGTCCCTAACCTTTTCAATTTTTTTGCAGATTTTACCCTTACCTTCAATTTGTGCCAACGAAAATCCCTAACATTTCATAAATATACAGTTGAGGTCCAAATTAACGGAAACCGTCTATAAAAACACCAGTTGGTCTGGAAAATACAAAAATAGATATTTTGACCATTTTAAGCATGGACATTTTTGTCAATTCCATGACAACTTTATATTTTGCAATATAAATACAATTATAAAAATTTACTTAACTGAATTTTGAGCAGCAAGTTTCTTACAATTCTATAATGTTTCAGATGTATTTGACTTGAAATCTGAATATGATGCGGTCGCCAGCTCCAAATCCAGGGGCTTGACAGTTACTCTGCGTATCTGTCAGTTGGCTGAAGCTATGAAACAAGTACGCGGTAGTTGAGAACCGAAATTGGCACAATGACGAGAAGTGGCTGCCCTTCTCAATTTGGCCCAGACAGTAGGCTACACTCAATTGAGGTACCGTAACTTTCGAAAGTTCCTAACCTTTCATAAATATAAAGTTGATGTCCAAATTAACGTAAAATCGTTAGTCTGGAAAATACAAAAATAGATATTTTAACCATTTAAGCAGCGACATTTTCGTCCATTCCATGACAACTTTATATTTTGCAATATAAATACAATTATATAATAAGGAATAATTAAATCAAAAAACAAAAAAATCAAACGAAAAGGATGTCTTCCTCACCTCACGCCATCCCCACCCCAAAATTGAACCCAGAAAACTTACCATTGCTAGCCGATCAACAGGCCATAGAGACATATCTCACCGTAAACCGTCACCGCCGTTGCCACCAAACCATCACCATCAAACCAGTTTTTCCATTTTGGAGAGGAAGAACCCAAAACGCGGTGAAAATAAAAATCACCGAACATCAAAACCAGAAAACTTTTGAAAATTAGGTTCTAGAAAGGACCACGAAACATCCCCACTCAAAAAACCAGAAAATGATTTAATCAAAAAAAAAATAAACGAAGATCAAAATCAACAAAGCCGACGGCCACCCAATCCAGAAAAACCACCGGCCATCCAATCCCCCGAAATTTCTTCCATAGCCGGCAACCTCAATCCATAAACACATTCTACACAATTAATTGGGCAAAGAATAGCCAAAGGAGTCGCACAACTTAACCCCTCAAACCTACGGTCACACTCATGGTCGCGCCTCATTGCCGGTAGTCTTGCCTACTTTAAGAGAGCCTATTCATGGTAGAACATTATCAAATCAAAAGATAGAGATGGGTTGGGTTTTCAGGGACTTCGATGGATGGTTGGGAGGGGAAAATCGACCAGGGTTTAATATGGGATGGTGGAGGAAGACGGTGGTAGTCCGGTGATATGGCGGCGATAGCGACGGTTTTGGATTATTGTTTGTGAAATTGGGGTGGAGTGGGGTAGGACAATTATTTATTTATTTTTTTTATAGTTTAATTGTTTTCAAATCAAAGGGAAAAATTGGAATGAACGAAAATGCCTCTACTTCAAATGGTCAAAATACCTATTTTTGTATTTTCAAGACGGTTTTATAGAAGGTTTCCATTAATTTGGACATCAGCTACATATTTATAAAATATTAGAGACATTCCTCGGCACAAATTGATGGTTAGGGTAAAGTTTGCAAAAATTGAAAAGATTAGGGATCGTTGCTGCAATTTTCCCTAAAAAGACGAACAAAGAGGTTACCAGGTCAAAACCTGGTAATGAAAACTGATAATTTTGGAGATATTCCCGCTGGATACAGGCTTCAGATTCCAAGCTACAAACGTAACTTTACAATTCAAGAATATGGAAAAAAGTTAAAACCATAAACAAAATCTAGCTTCATTCTGTAAAATGCAGGAAATAAGATAAAAACCACTTACTGAGGAAATGGGATACAAATTAAATGGAGGAAAACGGAAAAAAAAAAAAAATACACACACCGCGACACAGCACAATGCTTTTCGAAAAAGCTAAAGAAAAAATATATGCTAATAGCCAGATGTCAAAGCAATTATAGAATAGACCAAGAGCTACTCGAGCACTTGAAAGAACAATCAATAATCAAAATATATTGAGATGGCCCCAGTTTTAATGTCAATCTTGTAAACAGTTTACATACCCTGTAAGATAGTAGCTCACTTTAGAAATTCAACCCTGGAATCCAGTGGGTCTATTGTCAATGGCTCGTTTCAACATTTTGAGCTCTAATAACATGTTCAACTATATAAAGGGAAGGGAATACATTTATTTAAATTTAGCACTAACAAATCACTCATAAAATTGATTGTAAGCTAGCCATTTATGTAGAATAGAAAAGGAGATTATTTATGGTTTGGAACGAGCATATCAAATATCCTGATTACGTTTACAGGTAACTAGCCAACCATATATGATAAAAACTGCAGTTATTTACAGAGAGAAGAACATCTAGAGTCTAATCGACTACGAATTTTCCCAGACACTCTCCCCCCCCAAAAAAGAGGATAAAATATTAGTGGGACTTTAGAATTTATCAAGACCCTAACCCTACCACATACACTGCAAATGCAACAGTCTACAACGATAGCAAAAATCTGAAATTGAAATCAACCCATATAAAATTACAACATGCCGTCAGACGTTATGAAAATAAAAAAAATAAAAAATAAAATTATGGGCTGCTGAAAACACTTACATATGTATTAAGCTGTCGAATGAAACTAGAAAAATTGCTGTGCTTGAAGTACCTAGGCAGCAGAATAGTGGAAAATTTGTTAAAATCCCAAACAATAAAACTGTTTCTGGCCCTACTCCATGAAATCACTGAATTTGTTGAAGGATCCTCCACCATTTCAAAAGTCTTGGTTAGAAATGGAGGCGGCCCAACATCATACAATCCCTCCATTGGCGGTGGAGCGCCACCAGTACTACTGCAGCATTCCTGTTCCAGCTTTACTTTCATGCCTTCCATTAGCTTAAACTTTCTTGAGATACTGTCAAAATTTAGTCACTATGTAGATATGCGAGGAATTTCAGTGCTGTGAAACAGGAACTCGGCCATCACAATTTACTACGAGTGGGCGGATAGTTGCGTATATATGATATATGGAGGTGTCATGGAAAGTACTAGGGATCTTGGGATTTTTGTCGGCTTTTGTAATCTAGGACATTGTAGTTGTTTATAGATTAGTTGGGAAAAAGGCTAATTTCCCCCAAAAAGTAACGATATTTATCACGGCGATGTTACACCATTAATTTAGGCAACATCAAATATTACTGAATAGAAAATATAATTAAACAAATCACATGAGTTTAACTTTAATGGTATATATCACATAATTTAGCGTTATATCACCCACGTTACAGTGCCCTACCCAGGGGCGGACCTATGACCCCACTAGGGTCCTTAATTTTTTGCCTTAAGGGAAAAATTTATAAATAAGATGTTTAGTTTACACCAATTCAAAAATTATATTTATAATTTGAAAATTCAAAAATGAGGTTTTTTTTTTTTTTTTATTCTAATATAATATAATATAATAAACTCACCCCACATGCACC